TTTACAAAGGTGAGACTGACCAACTTGAATATTTTCTCACTATTATGTACCACATATTTATTCTGCTCTTGCTAGTGACTGGGCTTCCTACTGACCAGAGACATGACAAGTGACACTTGTGGCATTTCCCCCTTCTGCATGATGGTTGCAGGTGCTGGAGCCCCAGCTGCCCCATCAGCATTCGGATTCAGTCTCCCTGGGCCATGTCTGACTCTCCCTTTTATTTAGCATTTTAATTAAAGTGCTTCTATATTGCTCATCATTAATAGATTCCAAGGTGATGTGCAATATTTGCTAAACCCTAGTAAACACTGAGATTAAAATCTGCAAAATTCAAGCCCCACACTTGAATATACGTACATCTGGGGAAATACACAATTGTGCTATGATGATTGCGCATGTGGTTCACTCCCCTTTCTCACAGACATTCTGGCTGTGCAGGTGTTATGAGCTAGCATGTCATCTGAATGCAGCACACTTCCCCAAGAAGCCATGGCTTGTTCTAATGTTTAGTAAATGCACCTTCAGTTAGCATATCATCTGAAGCAGGTTGCACTAGCTGGCAGGTGGCACTTCCCCCCTTGCTTCTCCCTGGAGAGAAGTGCCTCTTATTCTCACCAGCCAACATTATTGCAAGATGATCGCTCACAATCACACTGCAGCAAAGGCAGGAGGAGAGGAGGTGCTTTCCCCTCAGTCTGCCTGGCAGGAGTCCAGGGGGAGAGCGACCACCCCACCTGCCCTTCCTGCATTCCAAGTCCTGTTGAGACCTCAGTGTTTAGGCAGGGCAGCCCATTGATTCTGCGCCAACTGAGAGCAGCTTGCAGTGGGCAGGGTGGCATGTTAGGTTGCTCCTCCTCCAGGGAGATGCAGGGAAAACACCTCCACCTGCAGCCACGATGGCGGTGTGGCCACAGGCACAGCTGCCACATTCAGCTCAGCATCCTCCCAGGGAGCTGCAGCCAAATGTGTCCAGTCCTCAAACCTGCCCACGGCTGTGCTGGTGGGTTGGTGGTAGTGGCAGCATGTTTGACTGTGTCTACATGAGAGGAGGCCAAGCTGAATGGGCCCCCTCCCCACATTCTGGCCTCCTCTTCCTGTGCTCCCATCAGTGCTAAGAGGGTGACAATACTCACAAGCAGTCCAGCTCTCCAGCATCAGCCGTAGCCCTAGGCAAGGGAGTGAATGCCGATTGGACGCTTTCTGCAGCTGTCAACCCCATTCTGCCTGGGATGCAGGACTAGGGGTGGAGGGGCACACTACCCTCCATTGTGCCCCATCTGTCAGACACAAGGGGGCTAGCATCTCACCTGAACCACCCTACCTTTGTCCTTATCTGCCCTTTGGGGCAAGAGAGACTGAGAATTTCACTCACACATTCTATATAATGTAGCATTTCATTTTCATTGGGTGGGTGAAAATCCTTGCGTGTGTTTCTTCAGCATGAGGTTCTAATTGGCTGTTGGTAGAAGAAAAAATAATAAGCTGTTTGGAGTTGCCCCGATTCAACATTTGTAAAACTGCGCAAAAGCAATGAAAATGGCCTTTAATACAGCATGAATATGAAAGAGCTGTTGTGATTTATGATACAGTTACGGTCGCTTTCACCTTGCTCAGTTACTCACTTTTGCTGTAAAGCATGATTTTAATTTGAAGACTCCTTGGCTTTAGTTTCTCAAGAAATCTCTCGCTAGAAATCAAGAAGAGCCACTGAGTTGTTTTATCTTTTTCTCTCTGAGAAGGGCAATTACTCTCTATGATGGAAGAAACAAAGGCAGTAATATTACTGTGGAGCTAAAGGAAGGAATGCAATTAGTAATCTTACTAAGTGGTGTTAGGAAGACAAATAGTTGAGCTTTTCCTGGTGGGGTTAAGAGAAACATTTACTGAAAAAACAGACTTTGCACTGACAGATTAATCAATTACAAGATGTTAAAGGAACAAAATGCATGGCTAATTGCAAGAGAATGAAAAAAACTTTTTAGAACACTTTGAGGGATTTCAGACCTTGCTTTAGTGTGTGCACGCGCGCGCGCGTGTGTGTGTACACATTGCTGTCTATTGGATGTATTTATCCTGAAACCTTCTGCAAATGGTAGGAAGCAGGTGGAGTTGGTATTATGCTAGTAATTATAATTACTTGTGTGTATCATACTAGAGACCTTCTGGCACAAGACTATCCTGCCCCTACATTGTGATCAGACATATTTAGTAAAACCTCCCTTAGGCAAAGCCACTCTAACATAGATCATTTATTATTGTAGACATGTGCTTCTAAATACCCATTTTTTCTTCCTTTTGGAATACTCCATGATAGCAAACACATTTCATGTTTTGACATACTCTTGCTAAAAGAACATAAAATACAGGGAAGGGTGGGAATTCTCCAGATGGTCAGTGATCTCAGTAGAATAATTTGTACCTTGTCAGTTATTAGCCTTAAAAACAAATGATCGTTAAAGTCATTTGTTTCTTTGAATATTTTAACACTCTCAGATTACAATCCTTGCACATGGCTTTCGTATTCAGTATATTAAAGGCCAAGCTGTTTTTCTTTCTTCCCAATTTGTCTTCTGTCCTGTCATTGATGATAATAGTGGATCCACGGATCACAGGGATGTAGCACTCGTCCCTTTTTTGATAGCAGGGACATCATGTCATCTGCCACCTCCAGGCTTCCCTGTTCTCCCTGAGCTTAGCGCCAACCCACACAGTAGCTGGGAGGGAATTAATTTTCCCAGCAATGGTATATTCTTCCCTGTTGTACTGCAAAGTAGTTTGGGGTACCCTGAAGAGGCAGGTAAGATCTATTAGCTTTACAAACAAGCTGATCCCGTTACAGATGAAAGCTGCTAAAATTGGTTTCCTGGTATGAATAGACACAGTTTCCTACAGCTTTACAATTTTCTTAGTTACAATGGGTGCCTGCATTTCAAAATGTAACCTTATGCAGTTCCTCACTTTTTGTACTTCTTGGCCTTATCAGCATCCACTGCCCTGTTAACTAGTCAAGAAATTATAGCTTTATATTAGATCCTTTCCTTTTTTGTTTCCTGTATTCTGTTAGTTACCAGGTTGTGTCATGGTGCTTCCTTTCAGTTCCCTATCCCAAAACAGTGGCTTATAGTTTCAATATTTCCAACCTTGATTGCTATAATGTTCTTCTGCCCAGTCTTCCCATATATAACAGAAATGGTGAATCCTGTTGCTTTGTAAAAACAGAGTTCTGATTTGGAATTCTGGGATCAGAAATACCTCCAGCTTGGAATTTGACCCTTGTCAGATGATGCCATTGAAAGTTGCTTGGATGTCTTTGATAAGTTTAAATGCTTATTTTAAATTCCCAATCTTTTTGGGACAGATTGAGTGGCTGAATGAACATGCTGTTATGGGACAGAGGGCCCTATCCTGTGGCCCATAAACAGCATCTGAAGGGCCAGAGGATATCTCACATTTTCAGATCTGAGCCTGGAGACTTAATTTCAACCTCAGATCTGAGAATTGGCACTCTACTCCCACTTTTTGCAGTTGACATGGAAAGAACCATATCAGGTGCTCTTGAGGTTCAGGAAAGTAACTTTGGAAGGAATAAAGGAAGTTTCTGAGAGAAAGGGGAGAAGACTCAGGGGGCCAGGATGCTGTTCCAGCTTCCTTCCTTCCCCCTCCAAAATGATCCAGCTAGATGGGATAAAAGGCCAGTCTAGAGAGGACAGGGAGGCACGGACTGCCCCCATCATCACTCCAGCTCTGCAAGGCAAGATTTGGAGGGCATCCCAATAGTATAGAGCCATAAATGGAGTGCCATTCACTACACTGGATATTTTCCCTTTACAAAACCCACCTTATGAACAATCTTAGACGTGGATCCTGTTGAACACAATGGAACTTGCCTCTGAGTACGAATGGAGAAAATTGTACTGCTAGATTCCACATACTTCCAAACAAAGAATAATTATAGAAAGAATCATTCTGAAAGCCCAAACCAGTTTTGAGTTACTGCAAATGTCTTGTTTGCATGCATCAGTACAGTAGTCTAAGTATGTACCAAAGAATAGAGGTCACTGAGTATCTACATTAGTTCTCTTATTTGGAAAGAAAAATTCTGTAAGAGGATACAATCATTCCATGATTATTGGGAGATATCAGGCTTTTTGTTAGCAGAAAGGAATAACAAAGGAGGTAAAATATTCTGTACTTTGGTGAGCTTTTTCTAATATGATATCAGTCTGTGTCAATGAGGATGAAGTACATGGTACCCAAGTTCTTGCTTCTGCAGCGTATGCCTTGGACACAGTAGTTTCAGCTGCAGTGTTCACAGTGTTGTTTCCTTCAGCATCCCCATTCCAGAGTGGAGGAAAGGCACATGGTGCTGAGGCAGAAGCTGCAGGGAGGTAAGAGGCAGGCAGGAGAAAGTTTCAACAACCCATATTCATATGCAACGTTGACTCATGCCCTTAGTTTAGATGTAAGCTTGTACAAACAGGTTTATTGTCATCATATCTCTTAACCTATCTATATTTATTTTATGAGTTTTGGTTCTCTTGCCTTGGTATATTTCCTGTGTTTAGCATTGTATGATTCCTGGATGATTTTACAGATGCATGCATCAGTCAAGGATTTGCAATATGGACTTTCAATTACACGTATTATATCAAGGAATTTCCTACGATGTGGGACAGTTGATCAAAGGGCAGATATAGCTCAGTCGGCATCTGTATAATTCAGTTGACTTCATTTGGACCTGGATGACAAACCCACAACATCTGTATTGCAGCTGAATCTGAGTGTTTGTGCTGTGAATCAGTCTTTGGCTTTTGAATCACACTGTCTGCTGAAAGATTGTTGATTTTTATGGTGTTAATTCTGGGTGGTCCTGCAAAAAGTTGAAATAGGTTAAATAGTGAGAGTAAAGGGAGTTAATTCTGGCCGAGAAGACCATGAACAGATCATCAGCTTGCTAGTTCTTGGCTTGAATTGTGGTTATTTTTTCCTTCTTGTAGCAAATACTGCTTCACTCCCGAGCAAATGCTACCAAGGTGATATTCCTTATAACGGATGGCTATTCCAATGGAGGAGACCCCAGGCCTATTGCAGCCTCCTTGCGTGAATTTGGAGTAGAGATCTTCACATTTGGGATATGGCAAGGCAACATCCGAGAGCTGAACGATATGGCTTCCCATCCAAAGGAAGAACATTGTTATTTGCTCCACAGTTTTGCAGAGTTTGAAGCTTTAGCTCGCAGAGCCCTTCATGAAGGTATTACCTCTAGTTCTACTTTCTGTGGAACAATCCCATGCATTGATATTCTATTATTACGTAATATTACTCATTTGAATTATAGATTTACCATGAGATCCTGAATTAATTTTTTGAATAACTGATCATCAAGGCACTGGAGGAAATTCTTCTCTTAGGCCTACAAATGGAGGGTGGCTGAAATGAATTGCAAGGTCTCTAAACATCATTCCAATTGTTTTCAGAATAAGGTGATTATAGTGAATTAGAAAATTAAGGGCTTTTCCTGGAAACCCCATGCAGGTATTCACTGTATGTGTGTACACATGTGGGCAGGATCAGCAACATGCTTTCTGGTCCTGGCCGGTACTCTTCCCATGTTCAGGATGCTGTTTGCGCAGAGGTCTGTATGTCTACACCTGAGCCATGACATCGTCTTTCATTTGGGTGAATGTGTGTTTAGGCTCTTGTGCCAATAGCACCTTGAACGTATAGAGATCAGGGGTTGGGACAGTAGATATGAGGTCCCCCCGCACATGCACACACACACATTCACTTCTACATGAAATGAACATCTGCATGAGGTTAATTAAGATTTGAGTCTTTGGGAGGTGGGTTGGAATTACCAGGTCTGGAATTGTGTTTTATAAAAACAGACAAATGAAGAGGTCTCTTGGGATTTTCTCAAAGACAATTAAAATCATGACCAAGTCACAGAAGTTTGTATCACTGCCTGTGAAATTCCTTTTGAACCAATCTCTACCATGGGCTTTGTCTGATACATTTACTGGGTAAGAGCATCAGAATGTGTCCCTTGACGTCTTTGTGCAAAATCTAAAACCCCATGAGTAGTCCAGGCTATTTCACATATAAACACATACAAACATACATTCTGTTCTTTGCCAGAAAATGATCATCCTTGTGATGTGACAAAGGTGTATCACACTTTCTTTGAATTGGATAATGTCTTCTAAACTGATATTTTAAATGCCGATTTGGGCCAGTTTTGAGAACTGGCAAACTAGGCACTATTAAGTAAGGACCTCAAGTTAGATACCCAAAACAGGTAATGTAATACATTCATCAGGTCAGAAAGGTTTCCTCTTTATTCCAATAAAGAGTGCAACTGCCAACAAGTTTTTTCTGTGTTTCCAAAATGTACAAAATATTATATTTAATTAGAGGAATGGAACAAAGGAAGGCAGGGAAAATCTGTTGTTTTAGGGCACAAAAATTGAACTCCCCCCCCCCACACACACACAAACTGTTTGGGAATAAATAATAGCTGTAAAAGAGTGTTCTTCCACAGCTCCCATTCATTGCAAAGGATAAATCACCGAGTGGATGAGATCCTTAGACAGTAACTCACAGGTACTGTCTCTCAAGGCTGAGGAAATGTATCCATGGATCCTGGTTATTACTGGGAAATGGAACAATCTCTCTTGTCCCCCAAAATTCATGCGTTTAGCAGCCAAGGGAAAAATTGTCTTATCAAGAGTAGCAAAAGATACATGAATAGAATTTTAAAATGAATTCTTAGGACTTGGCTTATTTTTGCACTTGAAGAAAGTTGCTTAATTTTTTAACTCTTTGAACTGTAGGTATTATTTGTAGTTATTATTATTACAGAACTGTATTTATTATCTCTAACCTATTTGTGTACTCTTTATTTATTTGGGACCATCTCCGAATACCCCTGATTACAGATCTTCCTTCTGGTAGTTACATTCAAGAGGACATATCCCATTGCTCCTATCTTTGTGATGGGGGCGGAAACTGCTGTGATATCATGGCAAGCTGCAAATGTGGTACCCACACAGGGCAATTCGAGTGCATCTGCGAAAAAGGATACTATGGCAAAGGGCTTCAACATGAATGCACAGGTCAGTGTCTGTCTGTGTCTTTTTTAATGACTGCTGATAGCTGGATCCAAGAGCAGATGGCTGCAGATGTGAAAAGCCTAGAGCCCCTGGCAGTGGGGATGGCAGAGGGTGGGACAACTGCCTGGGGGGTGGAGCCATGGGTGAGCCAAGCAAGGGGAGATGCAGGCACAGCGGACTGTAAGCAGTAAGTGACTGCAAATCATGCAATTGAACCACACTTGTCTGCTCCAGCCCATTGCACAGAAAAAGGAAATTAAGGGAAAAGATCAAGGTCATGAGTGCAAAAGATTGATAGGAAGGAAGAATCTACATAGCAACACAGTAAAACTATTCCCTATGGCCTTGTTTTTCCACTGCAGTTGGAATTCTTTGCACAAAATAGGGACATTAGGGTTGGCTTTTTAACCCCCCCCCCATTTAGGAAACCCCCTTTGGGTTCCCTGGGCGACCATCTCCCCCTGCACATGTTGTCTCTGCATTATCAGGGTTTAAAAAAGGGCTGAGGGAAAACAGAAAAAAATGGCAAAGGTTTGGTGGCTTCTGAGATAAATGTGGCAATTGGCTGTGGGCGTTCTGAAGGGCCTTGTCACAAACTACATCCTGATTGAAGCTGGGAAATTAATCAGGACCAAATATGGAGATCAGGCAGAGTGATGCTTCCCTTGAAACACGCTGAGCGGGAAGGAGTGAAGGCATGTACATGCTGGAGGAAGAAGGAGCTTGGGATCGGAGCCACTAACTGGAAGAGACTCATTAGTCCTAGATACAGAAATTTTCTGGGGGAGCTCTCCCTTTGGGGCAAGGGTTGTAGGAGAATCGGTTGCCTGCCTGCAGGAACAGGCTGCTTCAATCTACACCTGGTTAAGGTAACCGCTGGTATTTGGCCAACTTCTTCCTATGTTTCCTGAGACCATTTAGCTCACTTGTATAGGATGTACTATAAGTGTATATGAACAGATGTAAGAGTTTTATTTGCACACAGCATGCAAGGAGTAGCAGAGGAAGTCCTGAACTGTGTCCAAACCTTTATATTTCAGTCAGCCAAGTGCTTGGTAACCCCTTGGTTTTTCTTATCCAGGGCAAGCAATGCTCAGACAAAGAGGCTCCGCATGATAAACATCTTAGGTAGTCATCTAAAATGCTGGGTTCTGCTTTGCTTAGCTATTGATGGTCTGGTTTTTTTTCCTTTTTTCTTTTTCTTGGAGATATAGTCAGTGTTAATTTACTCATTCTTGTGTTTTGGATGAACAGTAACCTGGGTTTTTGACCACAGTTCAGTAAGAGAACATAGAACAAGTAATATATATAACATGCATATTATATAGAGAGAATGTCTCAGGTTCAGTCCTTGCCATCTCCAGGTTAAAGGATTGGGGAGCAGGTGATCTGACTGTCTGGGATTCTGGAAAGCTGCTATAAGTTAGAGCAAACAGTTCTGGGCTATATGGACAAATAATCCCATAATCTAAAAAGACTGAGGGAACCAGACAGTGAAGGAAAAAAATGGTTGTGGGGGCAGTATTGACTAGAAAATTAATTCTAGATTTGATTTAGAACAATCAGAATCGGAACAAGATGTGTATACTATCGTAATATTCTATTTTCTTGCCAGTAAGAATTGATAGAATTATTCTAAAGTTTCCTGGAATGTTGGCCAGATACTGCATACAGTCTTTACAAAAATATGTGTAATTAGGAATGCATTCCTGGAGCGCTTCTTAGCAAAATGTGTTTGCTACACAAATATCTTTGAAAAGCTTAGTTGTTTCACCAGTGGCAATAACAATCAAGCACATCTGGCTTAGATTATGCTCTGCAGTGAAGATGGCCGATTTATGCAAATTGAATTTTCTAATGCATTTATCAGAGTTTACAAGTAAAATGAAATTTTGACTCTGTTCTTCACTGGAGCCTATAAATAGGCAAAACCCATTAATTTTTATGTTTAGCACACTTAACCTATGTGTTTATTATCTAGTTTTGAGCATGCATGGTATAACACCATACAATTTTATGACTGAGTTTTGGCATTGCATGGCTCTTTTTGGTAAGAACATCATGACAAACATTAGCAAATTTTTAAAAGATGACATCTATTATAGGATGTACATGAGGGTCTGCCATCTGCTACACATGTGCTTAGTGGAGGGAACTCCATTGAGCTGTGCACGCAAATCAAAACTTTTGGCCTGAGGGCTTACATTTTTCTTGTAAATATGGCTTAATCTTTCTCACATCTTACTGCATTACTTAAAAAAAGAAAGAAAGGCAGAGATGAAAGGCCACATGCATCCTTTACAAAGGAGGAAAATAAATAAACTATTGGATGGTGGGGGTGCTGCTGCAGGCAAGTTTAAAGTAAGGAATTTAGTGGCTGGTGGTATTGTAAGAGTGCTGCTTTTGGTTTTCAGGTACTGAGTTTTATTGTTATTGCAAAGTATGCTAATAGACTGTGGCTGAGACCCAAGAACTTGCTGGACACAAGCCCAGTGGAATATTTGACCCTTTTTCCTGAAGGGCGGAAGCTGCACTGCTATCAGCTATTGCTCCGGTTGTGGAGAGTGAGGGCATCCTAACCATGCTGGAGATGAACAGAATAATGGTGGAGGAGGTGGAAGGAAGTGGGGAAGGAGTGGGACAGAGAGACCATAAGATGGGACCCAGCTGGCCAGCTGTCATTCAGCCTTCGCCAGCAAATTGCAAGAAGTATCTCCCCTCCTCTTCCAGGATGGGGATGATGAAAAGTGGATTAAAAATCAGATCTCTTTCTCTGTGAGGCTTCAGAGAATGGGAACTGGAGGTCTAGATAATTGGTTGTTGTTTGAGGCCAAACAGGTAGGAAGAAAGGTACAAGTTGGCATTAGTGCCATACCACTAAACATGAAAAAAGTACCTTTCTCCCTCCCTGCTCATAAAAACAAACAAATAATAATCTGGAAGGTTTGTTCAGTTGCTCTAGAGGCTACTTCATGTGTTTGGAAGGGGCACTGTCAGTGGTGTGGTGGTAAATTTTGAAGTGTAGGTGCTCATCGTGACAGTCCTTATAGTTGTATGGGCAAGGGAAGGCCAAACATGGAAGTCTCCCCTTTCAATCTGTATCAAGAAACTAACTCTAGCAGCAGAAGCTTTTATAATATTATTGTCCCAACCCCTTTTCACTGTAGCAAGGATCGCTCACAACTGTATATAGCTGCTGGGAAAATTAATTCATTTCCCCCCTCCCCCTATCTGCTTTGAGAATAGCAGCAATAATCACAGAGAATTTTAAGAGGGGTAGCAGATGGCATCAATGCCCTGTTTTATCGCTGCATCCTCGTGAGCATTAGCTCCAATACGCCACTGGACCTGGTCGCAGTTCTTGGGCACCTTGTCCAGGCAACTTTTGCACTCAGTAAGTCAGCCACAGTTCTGGGGTTGCCTTTTTAAACACACACAATCACAATTCTTTGGGCAGCCTTTCAAAATGACATTGCACATCTTTCCCTAAGCAACACTATTACCGTGCCTGAACAGCCTTTCCAAGCAGCTTTTCACTGCTTTCAGTAAAGCAAAAATGTCAGTGTGTTGACTCTGTTTTTGAAGACTGGTTTTGGTCATTTGAACATTCTTCTGTTCACTTTGTACTTCACTGATCATGGCATAGTTGAACATTTCTGTTTCCTGTTGGCTTTTCTAAAACGAGCATGCTTTAAATACAGCCTGGTTCTCATCAAGTGTCTTCCTGCTCTGGTGCATAGCCCAAGACCAGTATGGGCATGGCAGATGGCCATTCCAAGGAACAAATTCATAGGAAAACTTTTCCAAAATAGCTTGAGGTCCCAAGTATTACACTTCCAAAATCCAAAGTTGGAGAAAAAGCAATGCTTTGGCACAATGGGCAGCCCTAGTTGTAATATTCAGTTTCAATTTACCAGGTTTTGTGCTATCTCTTCTAGAATATTTCCCCAAAAAAGAAGACAGGGACCTTTTTTCTGTCAGTGGTTTGCCTATCTGAAAAACTACTATAGCCGGGGGCAGAGTGGGGGGCGGATTTAGCCACTGCAGTAGTGATGGAGCAAGGTAAGTTGCAGTCATTGCAATGCTATTGCATGCAATATGTCCTAAGACCAGTTCAGCCTCCTAGGAAATTCTTCTTCTGCCAGATTAAATGGGGAAGAAGTAGGCTAGGTTAATTAGTAATAGTCTTTCATTCCCAGCAACCATTATATACGCCAGTGAATGTTGATCTCCTGATGATAATTATACTGTATCATTAAATACATGGTACTTTGGACAGAAAATGGAACTTTGGTTATATTTAATATTGTTCTGTGCTTTGATGTAAACCTTTGATTTCCCCTTCCTTACTTTGATTTACTAAGGATTCTTTTGTTTATGGTTGAGTATCTGAGTACAATTTAATGAGGCCATTTAAGTGGGTGTACAGAAATTTTATGGGTGCAAGAATGGTTTATGTGGATGGCATTTTATGAAGACAGTAAGCTTTAGATAAGATTTTTCCAAATTTCTAATGGCTGAGGAACATCATTCCCCCTCCCCAATTTAAAAATGGAACCACACCAAGTCTTACACCCTGGAAAGTTTTACTTCTAGACTGTGCGATAATAACAGATCCCTTCCAGGGCAGCCCACCCACTGTGTTTCTGAGTGAGTTTCTGTGTTTCTTCTGCATCTGCCTTGTCTGTGCTGTGCCTCGGCACTGGAAGCAGTGGAATGATCCAGTCACAGGTATGGAGGTTGGGTAAGGAGGCCAAGCCAGAGCCCTGAAACGTGCAGAAATGCCCTCACATGGAGCCTCCTTAGTGGGCGCGTGACCTGGACTCAGACTATTTCTTAAGAGGCTCAGCCTCACTGTGTCTGTGCTCATGCCCTGCGTTGCCACTTAGCATGCGTCTGTAGAGAATCTGTAGCTACCTTGCTTGCTTGCTTGCTTGCTTGCTTGCTTGCTTGCTTGCTTGCTTGATTGATTGATTAAAAAGTGCACCTGATCTGTGGAAGGG